TTACAGAGCTCTATGGGGGTAACAAATCTAAAACACCCACTTAATTTAACTACAACACAATGCAGTGCAGCAAAGAAATCTGATGTCGTAATGCCTCTCACTACAGCTCTCCCTCAGCGTCAGAGAAGCTGGGGACGTTTTTTTGGCTGACAGCCAACATGCTGCTCAATGAGTGGGATCTGACTTTGTGTAAATAGGAAAACTAACGTTGTACCTCTTCATGCTCCTCTTCATCGTATTCCTCGGGTTCTTCTGCTTCCTCATCATCTTCACCTTCTTTGTCTTTTGTTTTGTCTTTCTCATCTTCAGATTTTTCTTCTTCATCATCCTTCTTTTCCAACTCCTGTCACAAGGCAATCTCTCTTACAAGGTGATCCCACGTTACGCCAACAGCATATTCTCCATACTACCAAAATGTTACACTGCAGCCAACAGCAAGGCAACTAGCCTAACAGTGTTGTGCAAAGGTTGTTGGTCAGTATTTAAAACAACATGGTGTGAAGCGCAGGAACTCCATAAGGACTTACTTGATCAAGCATTAGCCATCGGACCTGAAGTCTAAAAAAGTATGTCTTGGGCAAGAAATTGAGGTGATGGTTTCCCTTAACCGTCCACTGCTGGAATAATTGACGGCAGAAGGCCATGGCATACTCGATGAAACAATACCACACACTCTATATAAAAATATATCTGCACCAAACAGCGGATGGATCACCATGAGAAAAAACACAAGGCTGCTTCACCTTTAAGCTACCATTCCCACAGGGTGGGCAGTCGCCTCCAAAACCAAGGTCATTTTCCTCCCAATCTTCTCTTTCCGTATGCTTCTTCCCTCTCAACTGACTAAACTGTTTCATTTCCAACATCAGTAGACTGGCAAAACAGCAATAGATTTAAAAGCTCTGGCACCAATTCCTCCTTCAATAAGCTCTAATAGTAGCTCTGCTGTGCACAATTAGGCCATGTCGCTACCCAGTAAAGAACAACTAGTCGTTGCATTGAGAGTCAAAGAGGAGCAAAGAGAAGAGTTTCTCCACAGCCAGGCTCTGTTCTTATCCTCCCCCCTGTGCTGCCACATTGCAGAGCAGTGGTCCGTCAGAGTAACATGACAAAGCCAGAAAAAGGCTGCTCTGGCTATGCCATTTGGTACCAAAAAACATACTGAAGGTTTCCTTTTCTTTCAGCAATTTCTATCCACAACTTAGAAAGAGTATGCACATCTTACCTCAATTTTTTTCAACACATCCAGATTACTTTTAGGCTCAGAGCTTTTTGCTTTCTTTGGTTTTGCACCTGCTGGAATAAAATACATCAGAATTATCTTTTTAATATGGAAAACCACAAATTCTTCTCTTTTACTTGCTCTTAAAGAGCTTACACCTTGACCATGCCCTGGAAATCCCATACCATCTGTATTAAAATTACCTGAGACTTTGAGCTAAGTTCACGGAGGTGTAAATGCCCGATTTATCTAAGTGATGCCTATAGGGCCAGTCTGAAATTCACTTTGAACAGACAGTTGACCAAAGGTTTGGCCAAAGCATGGCGTTCAGCTTCACAAAGTACTTTTCACCTACGTACTCACAATATGTTAAGAAACTAGAACAGAATCTCAATTGTTATTTTTCACCACCTTGGAAAGGTAAAAACTCATTGAAGTTACTAATTTATGCAACACATTAATGACAGCTGGGTCCTTCAGGCAGATAGATAAAAAAGGCAGACAGCAGAGTTTATTAGCTCCAACACAGTAGGCGGGGTTACTGCAGCCAGATGGATTTTGGACCACAGTTGGCTCTCATCTAATGAGTCCACGGTGCATGTTTTCACTTAGTGCCTTGATGCATGAATACCGTGTTTATCAAGTTACTCCCGACAATCCAACCTCATTACGCTACTTAATTATACGCTGGAGCGAAGGTCAAAAATAGCATTACATATACCCAGGTAAGAGCGACCTGAATTGCAGCACCCTAAACTATGGGAATAGCTAGCCCGATTCCAGGCGTGCAGTTTAACCAGTAGATGAGCTCCACACTGAGGGATGTTCCAGCCTTTACAGAGCTTGTGAGACATCCTGTTCCCACGATGGGACTGTCTTTCAGTTCTCCCATTCAGCACGATCACTTAAAGCTTACAATGTAGGGCTGTACCTACCACAGATTGGCTCTTCCCAGCAGGGTAAAGCTGCCGGTGTAACGTGCCATATCGGTGTAGCTACCCAGCCTTTGATGGACGAGGCAGCTTCAGACACGCTAGCTTATGCAACTTGCACCATTTTTTTATGCTAGGCTGCACTAAGTGGTATCAGAAAAACAGTGTGCGTCAATGGAGGGGATATCCTTTCTGGAGCAGGTAGTAACCCAGTGCAGTTATGTATTTTACCTGGCCTAATACTTAAGGAAGCAGAACGCTAAGAGCTGCTAAGAGACACACGTACTTTGTCAAAAGCTTTTGTCATAAATAACATTCAGTTTGTTTCAGTGTTTTGCCTAGGAAGGGATTATGTGACAAAAGCACTGTAGAGAGCTGAGGGAAGTCAAGCTGCTCTGTAATAACATATGAACAGCATCAAAGCAAACACATCCAGAATGAAGTAGGCTTTTAAGGAAAACAAGTGGAAAGTGCGATTCAAAATTATCATCTCTGCACAAACCCCTGCAGACTTTTAGAGATAATGCTATAGAACAAAGAGCCTGGAAATGAAAACAGACATGCAAGATCCTTCCTTAAATGCTGGGCGTCTCTGGGGCTTGTCATAAAATTAGAGACATAAAATAAAGACTGACCTACCATTAGTGTTGAAAAAAGCAAGAAGAAAAAAAGCAAACTGAAGCAAAATAGCTCCTTACATCCATGTAGCTTTGAGATGCAACGGAATACAATCTAATCTTTCCAAATACCTGTTCTTGCAGTACTCACGCTTAAATGCACACATCTGATTGCTATATACATATGCATATAGCTGTCCTACAAGAGCTGAAGGCGGTCAATGTTTTGGGTTGGGTTTTTTTTTGTTTTGGTTTGGGTTTTTTTTTTGGCAGGCACTGCTGCTACCTAGGGTACCGTGGTCCACAGCCCAGGGTAAGTGTGGGAGAGAAGTGGAATTCTACCCCAAGTTTTGTCACTAAGAAGGCAGGTGGTCAGTTCTTAGGTTAAAACACTCAGGGAAACCAGAAAGTGGGAGGGAGAGGTGTCCCTGTACACGTAACTGTGTAGTGATCCAAAAACCACTCCGGCAGTCTGCAAAGGTAGAAAGGTAGGAAGCCCGTCTGAATTTCGGTGCAGATTCTCTTGACTCCCTCACCTTTGTTCCACGTGGTTATAAAGTGTCACCTAAGATGGCTGTCCTCAAAACACAGCAAAGGTGTGCACCAGAAGGGCTAATGCGTCACTGAGCAGCTATTTACAAACCTACTGAGTCTTACGACTTTTGTACGGCCTCTGTATCATCAGGATTCCCCCAAAAAACTAAAGGCACATGATTTTTGCGTTTAGAGGAACCTTTGTTTAATCCAATCAAATTCTGATGGTCAGCTGATCTTTGCCGTTACAACTATGTAAGAAAATGTACTTTTAAGAGCAGATAGAGAAACTGGCACAAAAGAGAGAGGAAAAATCCCCCACAGTGAGCAGTGATTCTCTCTTTGTTTATGACAATCACAACATTATTGTAACGAGGAATAATAAATCAGCATTTATGATTTCATTGGATCTTGGGGACCTAATTATTGTGCATAGGTTTATAAAAGCCAATGCAGTTTCTTCTTTAAAAAAAAAAAGTAGGTATGCACTGTTTTCATCTTTAGAGATTTTGCAAGTAAGTATTTAATTTTCAGCTGAATCTTGCAGTCTACCTTTAATGCCACGCTTCTCAATGACGCTCTTAAGAGGAACAAAGCTTCCAGCTGAGCCAGTCTCCATGGCTACTGCACATTCCCTTTTCTTTTTCTATTTAATCTTTGAACTGAAAAATGACACATGAAAGACTTGGACAAAGAGAACAAGAAAGCAAACCGTTACATATAACAGACAGCTAAATACAGGAGGCCAAGTGTTATCTCACATCAACAGAGCAACATACTTCTACAAAGAACTTAAAACAACAGTCATGCATGCTAGAAAACACTTTGGAAAACAAATACACGTGTGATGCTGTGTAATAAAAAAGTTTTTTCCTGTAAGAACAACCAATACCAGCTCCAACTGCTGTTGAAGGATCTGGTTCACAATTCTGCAGAAGCAAGCTGAAAATAAACAAAAAAAGTAAAACCAGGGAAAATATAAAAGAACCTACATTAAATCCCATATAAAAGGCTTAAAAAAATGCGAAAGTCAATCAAATCATAAACAAGATAATTGAGAAACCCAAAATATAAAGGAAATCTGAACAGCCAGCTATTCATTGAATAGAAAAAAGGTGAGTGTTGACTAAAGATACAAACTTTCAAAACAAAAAGTTTTGTGGGTTTTTTTCATCTTTCACTGTTACGTATCTCATATGTTAATATGGCACATCAATATGAAAGGCAGGAAAGGAAGATAAATCCCTTCCAGTAAGTTAGAGCATCCTGCAGAAGCAAAGCAAAAACCACAAAAGACAGGCAGACTAGTAAATTATTTAGAAAAAATCTGCCAAAAGCCCTGAATACTCAGACTAATTAACATTTCTACCATTTTTTTTCCCCTAACCAGCTCCAGTATGTCTTCTACCACTCAACTAGTGCATACTAAATGCTTCTTAATAGTATATAATATACCTTTTTTGGTCTTCTTCTTTGGCTTCATCTCTCTTGGGAGTCTTCTCCAATCTGTACAGAAAATTGCGTTAAATATATGAATGATGACATACAGCAGTAATCCTCCCCCCTGCCAACCACCAAGGAAAGGGCAGGGCCCCTGTTGTGCTTGATCCTATTTACATGCATGCCTAAGTGTTTTCACACACAGCAGTTTTATGCAATTCTAGCTGTACTTCGAGGAACCAGAGTGAGGCCTGGCATTTCACTCACTTAATGACAACTGACATCAGCCCCAAAGAGACCACGCTCAGCCCTTCCAGTGGCCCACGTGCCCTTCAATTTACGTTCTGTAATTCAGTTAGCAGTAGTGAGCTGTACAGATACAGCTGTGGAAGTTTAATGTTATAAAGCCCAGCCACCAGGGACCGAGACATCAGGTTGGGTTATTTTTAGCAACATCCATGTTTGCTCCCAGTTCAAAACCGGTATCTACATGGCGGGTAAAGAAGAAGGAAAGCTAGAGTGAGAGCTAAAGCTTGCATTTTTGCTGCAAACCAGTTGTTTCAACTGAATAAATAATCAGATTTTTTTCCTCTTTTTTTTTTTTTTTTTTGACAAAACAATACTTCGCCTTGATCTGAACACATGCAAAGGGCATAACCTTCAACAAGGAGTAAGTGGCTTGGTAAGGATTTGCATATTTTTTTATTGCTTGAAAAATAGTGAATCAAACATTTAAAAGAGCAGAACATTTCCCAGGTTAATAAAGAATTAGCCTTTGTTAATCTCAGATATTACCTGGGGTCCACATTGCATGCTCCTTTTCACTGTCCTGGTACTTTTTACTGTACCTCTCAATTGCTATAGAGACGGAAACAAAGAGTTACTGAATTCAATTAATTAAAAAGGCAATCCAGACATTGTCCTTGATATTTTCCTGTAAATAAACATATAGCCTATCTTTTTTAATCCCACATTGAACACTTTCTTGTGCTGTTGTCAAACACTTAAATGTCGCTACTTTGAGCAGTTCTCATGATAATTCCCAGGACTAATCATTTTGCTAAGTACCTGCAAGACCTGGATTTTATAGCCACCCCAAAAAGGCAAAAGCCCTGAATATTACTTTGCATTTTGGGGTTATCTCCTTCCAAGCAAAACGCACCCTCCACCCCCCACCCCCACCCCCCGAAACACATCTTCCAAAATTGTTATAATTTATACTTCTATCCTTGGAAAGCATGAAAACATAAAATGGAGATATAGCCAGGGAAACTAGGTAGAAACATCAGATGAACTCGAACTCTTCTACTCTTCAACAGTTTCACAATCAAACCTTTGCCACAAACCCAGTCAGTGACATTTATCACCACAGTGTTAATCATAAAGAACTTCCACAATTCCCAGGCCTCAGAGAGCCACGTCTCAGGCTGATCATGATCAACTCCCAAAACTTTCAGTAATTCTGCAGTGGCAAAGCTTTGTAGCATAACAGAGATGTGTCCTAAACAACAGCAACATATTTCAGTCCACTTAAACACTTTCCAGGCGCAAGAACTAAACTGAGAAATTCACTGTAAATAATACAGTAGTTATACAGTGTAAGTACATCCCTTTATACTACTGCAAAAAAAATTTCTTGTACAATCCCTAATGACAAAAGCAGTATCAAAATTTAAGTATTTTTACATCAGTCCCGTTTTTTCTTACCAAATTACCATGCCTAGCTGCAAAATCCACTTAATGCAAAATTAGATTCTGATTGCAGTAGTAACTCATTACCCAGACAGGGATAATTTTTGTGGGTATTGTACAAAAAATGGTAACAGAGACTGTCTGTGACCCTTACAGCCAAAGACTTCTCACCAGAGAAAAGGAAGGGAGAAGGAAGACATCAGAAACGAAGCTCAGTTTTAAACTTAGTTATGACGAGGGCAAGACCTACTTAAAGCTGTGCAACAAAGACTTTGCATTTAAAATGACAGTGTCTCAAGGGGCATTTGGTGTAGGTGGCCCTCACAGATGTCAGCACAGGGAGGGAAAGCATTTAGTAGTTTTGATTCCAGCTCGAGGCTCGTCAGTGAAGAGCTAATTGCTGATGCCATCACTAAAAAAAAATATGTCTGACTGACTCTCGCTACTCACAGCTAATTAATTCGTTCCAAACCACTGCCAAGGTGACAGTCACCCAGTCACGGCAGGTACACCTACAGGGAAAACGTGAATGATTCATAGCTTATGAAGGGAGGAAAGTAGAGAACTTACTACAGAGTAAGCCTGTTACTCACTCAAAATAAAGGAACGATGAAAATCTATTCTGTATGGCATACTAATGCATCAGAATTGCCAGGTAGCATTAGACGTGGCTTTCATTTACTACCTGAGTAATGAAAGAAAGATAGCTAGCTATGTCCTAACTAATTAAAATGTTTCCCTTCTCACACTTCAAAGGACCATTTGGCTCACAGATGCTGAGCTGAGGGTTTAAACCAATCCATTCGCTCTTGTAGCAAAGCCAATTTCAGAAGTTCCTGCCCATAGTCCCCCTCCTGCCTCCCTCTTATTCCTAGCAGATGTTTTGATGAAAATACAGAGGACGGAAGGGCTGTAAACCAGGTAACAGAAAAGATCGGTTAAAAATAATCTGCCTCGGGAGAAGAAAGTGATTTTCTTAAAGCTAGGCCACTTCTGCCTCATAATGCAATCCCAGACACAACAGCATACTGTGACTGAGATTAAAGCAAGCTTTTTAATCTGTAGACCATCACTGGTGTAATTATACCCCACCACTCCGATGAGGCATTTTTGTACAACTAAAAGGCTCAGTAAAAAGTTACCTCAACTTACCAACTCACCCTTGGGGAGGCAATGACAACATCTGAGTCTATCAAGAGGCTGTCTACCTGCTTTCCCTGCAACTGCCAGTTTTTGCGGAAAAAAGTGTCTTCAAAGCTGGCAGTTCTATTAAGGAGCACACTCAGCAACAGAGAAAGATCACTCCACCTCGGAAAGAAGTCTGCAGAAACAAGGACGTTGTGGAGGTGAGCAGCAAGAATGATCACGTGAGGCAAAGTTGGAAAAGAGAGAGAGTATGTCCTCATGCAGTGGCTGGTTCCTTGGAAATAACCCTGACCAGCTCTCAGGCATAGCAGTTTCCTTTTTTGTGCCTCAAATGGAAACAGCAAACACCAAGCCTGACAAAGATCAAGAGCACAGCAAGCCTGCGGTGAGACGAGAATCCAAAAAGAGTGAACTTTGTTTACTCAGAAGATGAAAGGGGAGATGCGATAAAAGAGTCATTTGGAATTCCTCTACCACCATAAAGGCATCTAGAAACGAAGATCAGATCTGCTCTCCTCGCCTCATTAGTGAGGTTTTACCTGGCCGCACCGTCAGGGTCCACCCTGGGCCGTCAGCTTGTGCTGCACTGCAGCTGCCTGCTGCCTCCCGGTGACTGCGGGGCTCCGGCTGCAGGTCAGAGGGAATGTTCTGCCTTTTGTGAGCCACAGCGTCTGGTCGGCAGTGTGTTCACTGCTCACACTGCAGAGTGCTGCTCCATTTTAAACAGTGCTTTAGTACAAGTGGACAGCCAATAAGGTGTGTTAATCGGTGTTATGTTCAAAGCCTAATAAAAAAAAAAAAAACGCACGCGGTGTCAAAACCTTCTAGAATTCACCACTACACCATGAACAAAAATTACAAAAAATTCAGAGGGGATTGGACTATGTACCTGTATCGTATCTACATCATTAATATCCAGTCAGAAAACATTCCGATGGGTTTGGGGTGGAAATTAAACCTCACATTCAAGAGTTCAAGTCAGCTCTCATCATTATTCAAAATCAGCACAAGATAGATAGCACGCAAAAGGTTGTCCAGTGTTTGGCCACTTCGGATTTCTCAAACGTTTTTATAAAGCTTTTTACGACTGCCTATTGCACTGACTGGGCCTAGGGACTGACACATGCAGCATTTCTCAGTATGTTGTGTTTCCTATTTTCCTGTAGCAGCACTTACCATTTACACTATTCGGAACAAGCACGCGTGAGAATCACAGAATGGCAAGGGTTGGGAGGGACCTCGGGAGATCATCTAGTCCAACCCCCCTGCTAAAGCAGGCTCACCTAGAGCATGCTACACAGGACTTCATCCGGGCGGGCTTTGAATATCTCCAGAGAAGGAGACTCCACAACCTCCCTGGGCAGCCTGGGCCAGGGCCCTGTCACCCTTAGAGTAAAGAAGTTTTTCCTCATATTCAACTGAAACCTCTTATGTTTCAGTTTGCATCCATTGCCCCTAGTCCTGTCGCTGGACACCACTGCAAACAGACTGCTTCCATCCTCATGACTTCCGCCCTTAAGATATTTGTATGTGTTGATAAGGTCCCCTCTCAGTCTTCTCTTCTTCAGGCTGAACAAGCCCAACTCTCTCAGCCTTTCCTCATAGGGGAGGTGCTCCAGTCCCTTTATCATCCTAGTTGCCCTCCTCTGGACTCTTTCTAGGAGTTCCTCATCTTTCTTGCACTGGGGAGCCCAGAACTGGACACAGTACTCCAGGTGGGGTCTCACCAGGGCAGAGTAGAGGGGGAGGAGAACCTCCCTCGACCTGCTGGCCACACTCCTCTTAATACACCCCAGGATACCATTGGCCTTCTTGGCAACAAGGGCACGCTGCTGGCTCATGGTCAGCTTGTCGTCTACCAGGACTCCCAGGTCCCTCTCAGCAGAGCTGCTTTCCAGCAGGTCAGCCCCCAGCCTGTACGGGTGAATGATGGACCTAGGCAAAAATCCCTAACAAAAAGAAGCACTACTCACAGCAATAACCTCCTGTGACTGCTAGATTTTAAATACCCCCACAGCAAGGTAAACAGACATTGAAGTCTTCCCACCCTGCTCCCTTTTCCCTCTTTCTCACTAGCTCACTTTTCTGACCAGGAAGCTTGTATTTTAACAGTAGAATGATGTATGACCGGATGCCAAGTCTAGCAGAGCACTTACCGTTATCAAACAATAACAAAGCTGTTAATTTTTAATTACATATAAGACATTCTTAGGCCAAGTAGAATAGGATCAAGCTTTGGCTTTTAATCCAGCTCTGCTTCTGATGCAAACCTCAAATAAAGCACTTATCTTTATCTCAGTCTTCGAATTTCGGGTAACTTGGCAGTAATACTTACCGAACTTTCCCGAATGGACTGAAGGAAAAAAATTAGTACCTTTTAGAATGTCCAGCTATTAAATGCAACGCTGATTATTTTAAGTATGTCTTTACATAATTCAGATGGAAGCTGAATTCCAACACAAATATTTACTACCGATTTCTTTGCTCCAATGCTAAATTTGTAGGGTATTTTAACATGTAGAAATGCCTATTTCGGTTATATTGGTTAACATATAATTAAAGACCGCTTATAGTTGTTCTAAATGTTTCTTACTATGTATCAAATGGAATAGATGTGTGATATCTCTTTTCTTCACACAGCAGTTGCCTTCCAGTTAACAGCACTTGTAGGTGTGACCTACAACTTCAGTAAGTGTAAAAGCAGAAAAATTCCCTATTATCTTAAGCTGCCAATTCTTGTTCCTCATTACCAGTACAAAATACATCTTCAACACAGGCATTTCACTACATAATCCTTCACGGAATAATAACTACTGAAGATATAAATAAAAATAAAAAGCACACAAACAAACCTTCACGATCTTCTTCTACTGCCAAAAAATACGGCATTTTTTTCATAGTTCCTCTAAGATCTTGTTTTAAGGCCAACATGTAATCTTCATCTTCTCCTGTTTTCAGAGGCACTGGCTTATTGTCTGTACTCTGTACAAATTATGTTTATTATTTATAAGGTCTTAATATCCATCAAAACTATGCATTATGCTACTGCGTAAATACACTTAATTGCATTCTGACATGCATATCTATATTTACAACTAAATTTATACCTTTTATGACTCCACTGTTACCTTTCTGCAAAAATATATCCAGAAACCAAGCAAAGAAAAAGTACTAAAATTCTGAAATAGTTGTTCATAGTCACGTTAAGCTCTTAATTGCCAAATGCAGTTTTTCACACCAGTCCAACTTACACAGAAGCCATTGCTTCTCTCTTCAGTCAGCGTAGCGCTGGCTTTAACCTCTTCTAAAACAGCGTTTTAACTACATTAAATATGATTACTCTGAATAATGTGGACACTCTCTTTGTGACTATCATCAGAGACACAGGTTGTACCATCATAAAATCAGTTAGCACACAGGCCCTCACACAATTCAGCGTCTGTCAACTGAATTTAAATGAATTTTCAAGGTTTGGATTTTGGGGTTGTTTTTTGGTTTTTTTTTTAACTATGGATATTGAAACTGGGAAAGATAAACAAGCCAAAACAGTTTTAAAAATGTACAGAAAACTAGAGCCAGAGCCAGCGCTATAGAATGGATGTTGTTTCTCTCACAGGACAGATGGTGCACAATCTACCTACCTGAGTGGTAGGTTGCAAAGCACAAAGTGCTATCACAAGTCCCAGAGCTGGATCATGAAAGGATTTTATTGCTTCCAGCTGTATTGGCTAGCTGGCCAACATTTTCCATCAGTGATGTTGCTGATAGCAAGCTGATGCTCCTTAGCTGGGTTTGTAATTGCATTTACAGGGAACTCGTAAGAACTCAAAAAGCTGCTATTAGAAATAGGTAATAGCAACAGTTCGCTGCTTGAAATAATTTCAGTGTGAGTCGGTCAACAACTGTAATATACTTTGGGTCACCGCCCAATCATTAAATCTAACTCCTGAAATTTTTGATGATACTACTTATGTCACTGGGTTAACTTTGATTTTTTTGAATGGCATTAGCTTTCCCCTGCGAAGTTTAACTTGGTTCTGAAGCTTTTGTTTGCAGAAGGACGAAAGCCTCTTTAACTTCTCCATGGTACACATTAGATACACCGGGGCTAGTAATTCTCCTACCAGGCAGATCCACTGCTGACTGTAACTGCAGAAGCTGTAGATCACACAAAGTTCAGTTTCCTCATGCTATTAAGCAGACTGCAACACTCACATTAGGAGCAGTTACAGATGGCTTAGTATCAATGAAATCCCACAACTTAATTGTAAAGGCGGACTAAGGACATAGAACATCTGGTTCAATAAGTCAAAACCTCGGGTGAAATTACTATTCAGAGAAATCTCAGCAGAGCACCAATTATATGCCAAACCTGCAAGTTCTGTATCATAACAAGTGAGAGAGACTGAGAAAAAAAACATGCACTGTGATCAAATCCTGACGTAACTGGGAAGTTCTCTTAGGTAGAACTGCAACACTGATAAGACTACGTTTCAGCCTTAAAATTGTCAAGCTTCCCTGCACAGCAAAACTCAGTCAGAAAATGCTCTTTTCCCTCTTTTAATTTTCAAATGCATCCCAAATGCTAAACCTCAGTTTCCTCAATTACATCAAATATTTTCCAGTTACTTGCAAATTCTGGCTACTGAGGTACAAGACAATCACCCACAATCTTTTACGTCTGTATCAACAGTAAATTTCTAAAATCAGCAAATCAGCTTTCAGAGACTAGTGTAACTTCATTTCCTGCAAATTCAGATATCCAGTGTCTCCGTTACTGTAATGGCCAGAAAACCAAATCACGATGAGGACTTTTAACGAACCAACACCTCGCAAGAAATCTAGTTAATTAAATATGGGATGCAACCGATGGCAAAGGGGCTGGAAATGACACTGAGAAAAATAATCATCGTTTACATTACAGGCTTCAAAACTGAGCTAAAGTGCTCAGGGTTGTTGATACATTCCATCTAAACATGACACTGAAGACGCTTTACCTGAACGCAGAGCGTGTGGTCTAAGACCCTTGCTGTACTTACAGGGAACGGCGGCGGAGGCTTACAGACGACGTCAGGCAGAGATGCACCTTTCGCAAAGCCGATAGCCTCGATGTTGAAGGTAAACGCAGCACGGCCCCGTCCTCTGCCTGACCCAGCCATCCGGAGTTGCTGCAAGCATGACAGATTTTTTAAGGATTTATTTTTGTTACATGTTTCAGAGACATGTATGTATGTGTTACCTACGAAATCCATGTCTAATGAAGATTACGGTAATTTTAAAACCACTCTCAAAGTTCATTTTAAACAGCAAGCCGTTTTTAATGCCTGCCTTAGGTTCCTCCACATACTATAATAAATTTGGTACGTGCCTAAAATCAACTGCATTCCCTCATTGGTGCTAGCCACCTCTGCCTGCCTGAAATTACCTCCTAACCTAGGAATTTTAAACTTTCTTCTAAACCTTAGATACACTGACTTGAGTTCAGTCAGGTTAGAAGAACCAGAAAGGTTAAAGCTTTAATAAGATTTAAGAAAAAAAATAAGCTCAAGGACCCTGAACTTTCTGAGTATACATTCTGTAGTTTTTGAATTTTTTTCCAAAAACCAGTTTGTGTTTGTCACTCATGGCTTCCTCATCCTTCGGATGATTTTTTTTTTTTTTCCCCCTTTATCTTTGTAACTAGTTGTGGGTACTGATAAAGAGACAAAAGTTAAGAGGTTCAGGGTAAAGGCACCAAAGGACTCTTCCCCACAACAGTGCTCTCTGCCCCGCTCCAGCGTACCTGCAAGCTACCGGCTGATCGACAGTGGTTGTCTCTTAACTACAGTGTTTCACCAAGGACACAAACCAGCCTGCAAAACCACATTTGTGGTCTCATCTTGTCACCTGCACCTCAGGACTGTAGGACCCAGGCGTTGGCAAGTAAAGCAAAATGTGAGAAATGCATTTTTTGCAGGGGAGGATGTCACAAAGTGGGACTCAAGCGAAGCCCGGCTGAAGCAACGCGCTACTGCTCGCTCCCCGAGACCGTGCGAGGACCAACACAGGGCCCCAGCCCAGAAATCCCGTGTTTACCATTAATTGCAAGGTTACTGTACTGCACCCTGCTCGGCTGAACGTCTCTGCTGTGCCTGCATCGTCACAACTGTTCCCACCGTTAGTGTGTGGGTGCGGTAACGAGTTCGAACGTGAAATGAGAAACAGCGCAGTAACTACAGCTTCTCATACACTTCGTCTAAAGTAACAAGGAATCTAGGGGAGAATCATGATTAGGAGCAAAGAAATGCACACAGAAGATTAAGATCTTTTAAGATTCCCCCAAAAGGAAGAAATGGCCCTTTTATTAAGTGCCAGTGAAAACGAGGTTGATGCAAGTATTTTCCTACCTATTATTTTCAACAGGAATAAGCCCTGCTTGGATAAAACAAAACCACATTAAATATTCCCAGATCACTCAGCAGCACAGAAAACTGTCTAAAGATAATCAGAAAGACCTACATAAATCATTTTAACAAAGACGACAAAGCCAAATCTAAGCCTGGGCATTTAATTAGCTGGAAGTAAAAAAAGAAATAGCAAACTCATTTGAAAACAGGATGAAATTGACCATTCCTGGGCACACGATAGTCAACTGTTTGGATCAGTGAGCTGAATCAGAATTGCAGTCCTTCATTCTTAGAATCATAGAATCATAGAATGTTTAGGGTTGGAAGGGACCACTAGTGGTCATCTAGTCCAACCCCCCTGCAGTGAGCAGGGACACTGCTAACTAGATCAGATTGCTCAGAGCCCCATCCAACCTGGCCTTGAATGTTTCCAGGGATGGGGCCTCCACTACCTCTCTGGGCAACCTGTTCCAGTGTTTTACCACTCTCATTGTAAAAAATTTCTTCCTTACCTCTAGCCTGAACCTACCCTGTTCTAGTTTAAAACCATTTCCCCTTGTCCTAACACAGCTGGCCCTATGAAAAAGACGTTCCCCATCTTTCCTATAGGCCCCCTTTAGGTACTGGAAGGCCGCAATCAGGTCTCCCCGTAGCCTCCTTTTCTCCAGACTGAACAAGCCCAACTCTCTCAGCCTGTCCTCACAGGAGAGGTGCTCCAGCCCTTGGATCATTTTTGTAGCCCTTCTCTGGACCCGTTCCAACAGTTCCATGTCCTTCTTGTGCTGAGGGCTCCAGAGCTGGACGCAGTACTCCAGGTGAGGTCTCACCAGAGCTGAGTAGAGGGGCAGAATCACCTCCCTCGACCTGCTAGCCACACTCCTCCTGATGCAGCCCAGAGTACGGTTGGCCTTCTGGGCTGCCAGCGCACATTGCCGGCTCATGTCTAGCTTTTCATCCATCAGTACCCCCAGGTCCCTCTCGGCAGGGCTGCTCTCCATCCTTTCTTCCCCCAGCCTGTATTGATACTGGGGGTTACCCCAACCCAATGTGTGAGCCTGTGCCCAAGATGTGAGCTTGGCAGAATGGAAAGATAAGAGTAAAGCCCCAAAGATCAGCAATTCTATTACCTAGGTGTGCAAAAAAGGAACCAGCAACAGAAGAAAACAAAAGGGAGATGTCCAGATAGCAAGGAGAGGCACAGTTTGCATCATAGCGAACCTAGGGGTCCGTTTTTAAAATGCTGCTTTAAAATTAATTCTTGGTAAGATTTTCTTGAAATAGAGCATTAGTCTGATGAGAAGTAACGAGCTTGGAAATAGCGGTATTTCAGCTCCGCAGTTTTACTGAAACTCGTGAGTTTTTCAAGCGTCCCATAAACTGGCAGTGACAGAGAAATTGTGAAGAAAACATCGATGTGTACAACCGCGTTACCGAGCCGGCGAAAGCTACCAGGACAACCAGCGTTCTGGCTGCCACCGGGGGTGCCCGGTGAGGCAGCTGCAGGTATTTTTGTGTTTCTGAGTAGCTGGTGCGTCATTTACTTTGTGAACGAGGAGAATTTCAGGGTTAGCCCGTCAAACTCCCTCCGAACCTGCGCGGGCTCTGGCTGGGGCGGTCCGTCAGGGGCCGTCGGTCAGTCAGGGTCGGTCCGTCC